TGTTTTTCTCTCTTCCCCGCAATTAAAAACCCAAGCCTTCATTCCTGAATCCGACTCCAGGTCATTCAATCATCATAATAATAATCAAGCAGCCAGGCTTTGAAGCTGCAAGGTCATTCAATAATAATAATAATCAAGCAGCCAGGCTTTGAAGCTGCAAGGTCATTCAATAATAATAATAATCAAGCAGCCAGGCTTTGAAGCTGCAAGGCCATTCAATAATAAGGCATCCTCAGAGGTCGTGAGGTCTGTTGGAACATGCCTCCCAACAAAGGATTGAGGAAGCAGCCAGGCTTTGAAGCTGCAAGGCCATTCAATAATAAGGCATCCACAGAGGTCGTGAGGTCTGATGGAACATGCCTCCCAACAAAGGATGGAGGAAGCAGCCAGGCTTTGAAGCTGCAAGGCCATTCAATAATAATAATAATAATAATAATAATAATAATAATAATAATAATAATAATAATAAAGCAGCCAGGCTTCGAAACTTGAAGGCCATTCACTAATAATAATAATTAAGCAGCCAGGCTTTGAAGCTGCAAGGCCATTCAATGCTAAGGCATCCTCAGAGGTGGTGAGGTCTGTTGGAACAGACCTCCCAACAAAGGATTGAGGAAGCAGCCAGGCTTCGAAACTTGAAGGCCATTCACTAATAATAATAATTAAGCAGCCAGGCTTTGAAGCTGCAAGACCATTCAATAATAATAATAATTAAGCAGCCAGGCTTTGAAGCTGCAAGGTCATTCAATAATAATAATAATAATAATAATAATAATAATAATAATGCAGCCAGGCTTTGAAGCTGCAAGGCCATTCAATAATAAGGCATCCTCAGAGGTCATGAGGTCTGTTGGGAAACAAAGGATGGAGGAAGCAGCCAGGCTTTGAAGCTGCAAGGCCATTCAATAATAAGGCATCCTCAGAGGTCATGAGGTCTGTTGGGAAACAAAGGATGGAGGAAGCAGCCAGGCTTTGAAGCTGCAAGGCCATTCAATAATAAGGCATCCTCAGAGGTGATGAGGTCTGTTCCAACAAAGGATGGAGGAAGCAGCCAGGCTTTGAAGCTGCAAGGCCATTCAATAATAATAATGATGATAATTAAGCAGCCAGGCTTTGAAGCTGCAAGGCCACTCAATAATAATAATAATAATAATAATAATAATAATAATAATAATAATAATAAAGCAGTCAGGCTTTGAAGCTGCAAGGCCATTCAATAATAAGGCATCCTCAGAGGTGATGAGGTCTGTTCCAACAAAGGATGGAGGAAGCAGCCAGGCTTTGAAGCTGCAAGGCCATTCAATAATAATAATGATGATAATTAAGCAGCCAGGCTTTAATAATTAAGCAGCCAGGCTTTGAAGCTGCAAGGCCATTCAATAATAATAATAATAATAATAATAATAATAATAATAATAATAAAGCAGCCAGGCTTTGAAGCTGCAAGGCCATTCAATAATAAGGCATCCTCAGAGGTGGCAAGGTCTGTTGGAACAGACCTCCCAACAAAGGATGGAGGAAGCAGCCAGGCTTTGAAGCTGCAAGGCCATTCAATAATGATGATGATGATGATGATGATGATGATGATGATGATAAAGCAGCCAGGCTTTGAAGCTGCAAGGCCATTCAATAATAAGGCATCCTCAAAGGTTGGAAACTAGGCAAGTGGGGTTTAAGTATCTGTGGAATAATGTCCAGGATGGGAGAAAGAACTCTTGTCTCTTGCTTCAAACTGCAGTACCTATTGATCTACCCGCATTACATGTTTTCAAACTGCTAGGTTGGCAGAAGCTAGGGCTAACAGCGAGAGCTCATCCCGACCTGCAGCTTCAAACTGCGGTACCTATTGATCTACTCGCATTACATGCTTTCGAACTGCTTGGTTGGCAGAAGCTAGGGCTAACAGTGAGAGCTCACCCCGACCCACAGCTTCGAACTGCAGTACCTATTGATCTACTCGTATAACATATTTTCGAACTGCCAGGTTGGCAGAGGCTAGGGCTAACAGCGAGAGCTCACCTCGACCTGCAGCTTCAAACTGCAATACCTATTGATCTACTGGCATCACATACTTTCGAACTGCCAGGTTGGCAGAAGCTAGGGCTAGCAGTGAGAGCTCACCCCGACCAGCAGATTCAAAGTCCAGTACCTATTGATCTAGTTGCATTACATGAACTGCTAGGTTGGCAGAAGCTAGGGCTAACAGTGAGAGCACTACCGTACCTATTGATCTACTCGCATCACATAGTTTTGAACTGCTTGGTTGGCAGAAGCTAGGGCTAACAGTGAGAGCACTGCCGTACCTATTGATCTACTCGCATCACATACTTTTGAACTGCTAGGTTGGCAGAAGCTAGGGCTAACAGTGAGAGCACTGCCGTACCTATTGATCTACTCTCATCACATACTTTTGAACTGCTAGGTTGGCAGAAGCTAGGGCTAACAGTGAGAGCACTGCAGTACCTATTGGTCTACTTGCATCATATACTTTTGAACTGCTAGGTTGGCATAAGCTAGGGCTAACAGCGAGAGCTCACCCCGACCTGCAGCTTCAAACTGCAGTACCTATTGATCTACTCACATTACATGCTTTCGAACTGCTAGGTTGGCAGAAGCTAGGGCTAACAGCAAGAGCTCACCCTGACCTGCAGCTTCAAACTGCAGTACCTATTGATCTACTCACATTACATGCTTTCGAACTGCTAGGTTGGCAGAAGCTAGGGCTAACAGCGAGAGCTCACCCCGACCTGCAGCTTCAAACTGCAGTACCTATTGATCTATTCGCATTACATGCTTTTGAACTGCTAGGTTGGCAGAAGCTAGGGCTAACAGCAAATTCAAAGCCAGCCCAGGGTCGGAGTAAGCTCCCGACCATTTGTCTAGCTTGCTGTCGACCTTTGCAGCCCAAAAGACAGCTCCATCTGTCAAGTAAGAAATTATGCGGGGAGTTTAATTTAATATAAATACTGTAAATAAATAAACAAACAAATAATAAACTCACAATGCAATGGAAGGTTTGAATGAAATTCTGCCTTGGCGTTCCCTTCCTTGCCGAACTCCCCAAAACCTCAATTCCGGAAGAAATGGGGTTTGCAGATTTGCGTTACAAACGGATGAAAACAGGAAACCCCAAACGCACATCTGTGCGAGTGGCAAGCAAGAAGTGCGAAGGAAGGAAGCTGCAGATTTGCTTTTAGAAAGGAAAATACTATTCTCAGACCACATTTCTGTTGTTTCCAAAGTTAGTTTGCCTTGTAAAAAATAGCCTAGATCAGTGTTTATCAACCATCCTAATCCCGCAACCCCTTAATACAGATCCTCCTTTGTGGTGACCCCCCAATATAATATTTTCGTTTATGGTTTTTATTCCTGGTATGTTTGGCTTCATGACGAGAGCGGGGGAGAGAGAGCAAGAGAGAGAGAGAGGGAGGCTGGAATGGTGGAGTACAGTATGGAGAAAATGATGCTTCTGCCTCTTCGCTTTGGGCTTCCTTGCCACAACTTTGTGCTTCTACCATTTTAAAGTAGATCTTCCTTTTTGTATTGTTCTATGTGAATGTGTAAGTTTTGCCTTGCTAACACACTGGACAACATATATTTTGTTGCCTCAAATGTGATTCCTTGCCCCAACTTTGTGCTTCTGCCATTTTAAAATAGATCCTCAGGAAGGACGATGGATTAATAGGATTTCAATGGGAATTCTCGCTTTGAGATAAGAACATTTGAGTTAAGAGGTCAGTCACAGAACGAATTAAACTCTTAAGTCAAGGCATCAATAGCATTTAAATGAGAAAATCACTGAGATAAGAACGTTTTGAGTTAAGAGCTCAATCACAGAACAAATTAAACTCAAGGTACCAACAGCAATTCAATGGGAATATTCGCTTTGAGATAAGAGCATTTTGAGTTAAGAGCTCAAACACAGAACAAATTAAACTCTTAAGTCAAGGTATCAATAGCATTTCAATTTGAAATTCACTTTGAGATAAGATCATTTTGAGTTAAGAGCTCAATCACAGAACAAATTAAACTCTTAAGTCATGGTATCCCATTTCAATGGGAAAATTCACTTTGAGATAAGAGCATCTTGAGTTAAGCGCTCAATCACAAAACGAATTAAACTCTTAAGTCAAGATATCAATAGCATTTCAACTTGAGATTCACTTTGATATAAGATCATTTTGAGTTAACAGCTCAATCACAGAACGAATTATACTCTTAAGTCAAGGTATCGATAGTATTTCAATGGATGAAATCCACTTTGAGATAAGAGCATTTTGTGTTAAGAGCTCAATCACGGAATGCATCAAACTCTTAAGTCAATGTATCAATAGCTTTTTGAGATAAGAGCATTTTGAGATAAGAGCTCAATCGCAGACTCTTAGGTCAATGTGTTGATAGTATTTCAATGGTAAACTCACTTTGAGATAAGATTATTTTGAGTTAAGAGCTTAATCACAGAATGAATTAAACTCTTAAAGCAAGGTATTAATAGCATTTCAGTAGTAAATTCACTTTGAGATAAGAGCATTTTGTGTTAAGAGCTCAATCACAGAAACGTCAAGGCATTAATTTGGCATTAGAGCAATTTGAGTTAAGAGCTCAATCACAGAATGAATTAAACTCTTAAATCAAGGTATTAATAGCATTTCAACTGGAATTCCACTTTGAGATAAGAGCACTTTGAGTTAAGAGCACAAACACAGGACAAATCAAACTCTTAAGTCGAGGTATCAATAGCATTTCAATGTATTTGCTTTGAGATAAGAGATTTTGGGTTAAGAGCTGAATGTTTTAAACTCTTAAGTCGAGGTATAGTAGCATTTCAATAGGAAAATTCACTTTGAGATAATAGCATTTTGAGTTAAGAGCTCAATTACATGATGAATTAAACTCTTAAGTCAAGGTATCACTGTACTTTGGGTCTTACATTGTGACAAGGGCGGGATAGGCCTTAACAAATTAAGGAGAGCCACTAACATATGTTTCCCTCCACGCAGCCCACATGGAGACGTTCAGCTCCCGCAACCTGGCCCTCCAGGCCGAGAAGAAAATCCTCAGCCGGATGGCCAGCAAGTCCATGGCCAACATGTTCATCGACGACACCAGCAGCGAGATCCTTGATGAGCTCTACCGCATCTCCAAGGAGTACACCCAGAACCGGGCCGAGTCCCAGAAGGTCCTCAAGAACCTCATCAAGGTGGCCGTCAAGATCTCGGTCCTGTACCGCAACAACCGCTTCAGCGAGGAGGAGCTGGGCTGGGCCGAGGCCTTCAAGCAGAAGCTCCACCAAGGCGCCATGACCGCCATCAGCTTCCACGAGGTGGACTTCACCTTCGAGAAGGCCGTCCTGGCCGAGATCCTCCACGAGTGCCGGGATTTGCTGCTCAAGCTGGTCGAGAAGCACCTGACGCCCAAGTCCCACGGGAGGATCCGCCACGTCTTTGATCATTTCGCCGACCCGGAGCTCCTCGTTCGAGCCTACAGTCCCGGAGAGCCTTACCAACCACGTTTGAAGAAGATCTGCGACGGGTTGAACCGGTTGATCGACGAAGGAAGACTGTGAAGCCCATCTGGAGGATCAGGACTGAAGAAGTAGAAGAACAGGAGGGAAACATCCATGTTTTTTTAATCGGCCCAGTTCTGTGGGCTGCGGACAACGTAAAACTATACGCCGACGACATAGTCTTCAGTTTCGCAATCTTGATGGGAGGAACAGCATCATCTACAGCAGTGTGTCTTAACCTTACTGATGCCACGACCTCTTAATACAGTTCCTCATGTTGTGGTGAACCCCAACCATAACATTATTTTAGTTCCTGGTATGTTTGGCTTCATGAAGAGAGCGAGGGAGAGAGAGAGAAAGAACTGGAACTTTGCTACTGTTCTGAATCATAATGTAAATATCTGAGATGCAAGATGTATTTTAATTCACTGGACCAAATTTGGTACAAATTTGAATACTGGTGGAGTTGGGGGGGATTGATTTTGCCATTTTGGGAGTTGTAGTTGCTGGGATTTATAGTTCACCTGCAATCAAAGAGCATTCCGAACTCAACCAATGATGGAATTGAACCAAACTTGGCATATATATTCAATATACTCAAATGTGAACACTGGTGGAGTTTGGGGGAAATAAACCTTCACATTTGGGAGTTGTAGTTGCTGGGATTTATAGTTCACCTACAATCAAAGAGCATTCTGAACTCCACCAATAATGGAATTGAATCAAAGTTGGCACACAGAACTCCCACGACCAACAGAAAATACTAGAAAGGTTTGGTGGGCATCGAAGTTGAGTTTGGGAGTTGTAGTTCACTTACATCCGGAGATCACTGTGGACTCAAACAATGATGGTTCTAGACCAAACTTGGTATATATACTCAATATGCCCAAATGTAAACACTGGTGGAGTTGGTGGGAAATAGACCTTGACATTTGGGAGTTGTAGTTGTAGGATTTATAGTTTGCCTACAATCAAAGAGTATTATGAACACCACCAATGATAGAATTGAACTAAACTTCTCACACAGAAGTACCATTACCATCAGAAAATACTGGAAGGGTTTGCTGGGCATTGACATCGGGTTTTGGAGTTGTAGTTCACCTACATCCAGAGAGCACTGTGGACTCAAACAATGATGGATCTGGACCAAACTTGGTATATATACTCAATATGCTCAAATGTAAACATTGGTGGAGTTGGAGGGAAATAGTCTTTGACATTTGGGAGTTGTAGTTGCTGGGATTTATAGTTTGCCTACAATTGGAGAGTATTATGTACCCCATCAATGATAGAATTGAACCAAACTTGGCACACAGAACTCCCATCACTGATAGAAAATACTGGAAGGGTTTGGTGGGCATTGGCCTTGAGTTTAGGAGTTATAGTTCACTTACATCCAGAGAGCACAGTGGACTCAAACAATGATGGTTCTGGACAAAACTCGCTATATATATTCAATATGCCCAAATGTGAACACTGGTGGAGTTTGGGGAAAATAGACCTTGACATTTGGGAGTTGTAGTTGCTGGGATTTATAGTTCACTTACAACCAGAGAGCATTCTGAACCCCACCAATGATGGAATTGAACCAAACTTGGCACACAGAACTCCCATGACTGATAGAAAATACTGGAAGGGTTTGGTGGGCATTGAGCTTGAGTTTGGGAGTTGTAGTTCACTTATATCCAGAGAGTGCTGTGGACTCAAACAATGATGCGTCTGTTGGACCAAACGTGGCACGGATACTCAATATGCCCAAATGTGAACACAAGTGAAGTTTGGGGAAAATAGACCTTGACATTTGGGAGTTGTAGTTACTGGGATTTATAGTTCACCTACAATCAAAGGGCATTATGAACCCCACCAATGATAGAACTGAACCAAATTTGGGACACAGAACTCCCATGACTGATAGAAAATACTGGAAGGGTTTGGTGGGCATTGGCCTTGAGTTTGGGAGTTGTAGTTCAATTACATCCAGAGAGCACTGTGGACTCAAACAATGATGCATCTGAAGTATACTCAATATGCCCAAATGAACATTGGTGGGGTTTGGGGAAAATAGACCTTGACATTTGTGAGTTGTAGTTGCTGGGATTTATAGTTCACCTATAGTTGCTGGGATTTATAGTTCACTTACAACCAAAGAGCATTATGAACCCCACCAATGATAGAACTGAACCAAACTTGGGACACAGAACTCCCATCACTGATAGAAAATACTGGAAGGGTTTGGTGGGCATTGACATTGAGTTTGGGAGCTGTAGTTCACTTATATCCAGAGAGCACTGTGGAAACGTAGGGAAAGATCTGTAGCTGCTATGAGACTCCCTTCTTGTCCCTTTCCACCATCCAAGAGCTAGGAAGCAACAACAACCCAGGTTCTTGTGGGTTTTTTCGGGCTATAGAGCCATGTTCTAGAGGCATTTCTCCTGACGTTTCGCCTGCATCTATGGCAAGCATCCTCAGAGGTAGTGAGGTGTGTTGGAAATAGGAAAATGGTTTTATATATCTGTGGAATGGCTGGGGTGGGGCAAGGAGCTCTCCTCTGCTGGAGCTAGGTGTGAATGTTTCAACTGACCACCTTCATTAGCATTTGAAGGCCTGGCTGAGCCTAGGAAAATCTTTTGTTGAGAGGTGTTAAGATGTGCCTGGTTGTTTCCTCTCTGCTGTTTTGCTGTTGTAATTTTAGAGTTTTTAATACTGGTAGCCAGATTTTGTTCATTTTCATGGTCTCTTCCTTTCTGTTGAAATTGTCCACATGCTTGTGGATTTCAATGGCTTCTCTGTGTCTGACATGGTGGTTGTGAGAGTGGTCCAGCATTTCTGTGTTCTCAAATAATATGCTGTGTCAAGGATCAGGTGCCTTGCTATGGCTGACTTCTCTGGTTGAAGTAGTCTGCAGTGCCTTTCATGTTCCTTGATTCGTGTTTGGGCAATGCTGCGTTTGGTGGTCCCTATGTAGACTTGTCCACAGCTGCATGGTACACGGTAGACTCCTGCAGAAGTGAGAGGATCCCTCTTGTCCTTTGCTGAACGCAGCATTTGTTGGATTTTCTTGGTGGGTCTGTAGATAGTTTGTATGTTGTGTTTCCTCATCAGCTTCCCTATGCGGTCAGTGGTTCCCTTGATGTATGGCAAGAACACTTTTCCTCTGGGTGGATCTTTGTCTTGACTCTCGTGGCTTGTTCTTGGTCTTGCAGCTCTTCTGATGTCTGAGGTGGAGTATCCATTGGCCTGGAGAGCCCAGTTGAGGTGGTTCAGTTCATCTTGAAGGAGGTGGGGTTCGCAGATTCTTTTTGCACGGTCTGCCAAGGCTTTAATGGTGCTTCTTTTTTGACTTGGGTGATGGTTGGAATTTTTATGTAGATATCTATCTGTGTGTGTGGGTTTTCTGTAGACGGTGTGACCCAATTGTTGATCTGGTTTGCGGATGACTAGGACATCTAGAAAAGGCAGTCTTCCTTCATTTTCTTTTTCCATTGTGAATTGGATTTTTGGGTGGATGCTGTTAAGATGGTCCAGGAACCTGTTGAGTTCTTCTTCTCCATGGCTCCAAATGGTGAAGGTGTCATCCACATATCTGAACCATACAGTAAGGTTTTTTTGTTGCTGTTTCCAGGGCTTGTTTTTCAAAGTGTTCCATGTAGAAATTTGCTGTGACTGGGCTGAGAGGGGTCCCCATAGCTACTCCATCTTTCTGTTCATAGAATTCATTGTCCCACTGAAAGTAACTGGTGGTGAGGCAATGGTGAAACAGAGCCGTGATGTCTTCTGGGAACCTCTGGTTGATGAGTGCCATGGTGTCTGCTACCGGGACCATGGTAAATAGAGATACCACATCGAAGCTGATCAGTTTGTCGTTTGTATTTAGCTTGAGATTGCTGATTTTTTCTATGAAGTGGGCTGAGTCCTTGATGTAGTGTGTAGTGAGACCAATATGGCTTTGTAACTGTGCAGCAAGAAATTTTGCTAGATCGTATGTGGGGGATCCAATGGCACTCACGATGGGTCTGAGTGGGGTGGAGTCCTTATGGATTTTTGGGAGTCCAAAAACAACAACCCACTTTTACAAGAGCCAAAAATGTCACTAACTATCTCAGGGAATCAGGTAGGCCGTGTTTCTGCCCTTGTAAGTTTCAGGAAAATAAAATAAAATGTTTTCACACTCACATCTCAATTTTCTCTCTTTTCAAAGCTGAGTAAAGTAAAAGTAAAGGTTTCCTCTTGACATTAAGTTGATTTGAGGTTTGGAAGCAGGCTGCAGTTCCATATATGTCCATCAGGTGGCACTGTTTCCCAACATTGTTGTCAAATGCTTGCACATCAACTTTGATGAACTGATGGGAGTTGTAGGCTGCTGTAAAGCATAAGGGTGAGCTCCTGCTCTTAGCCCCAGCTCCTGCCAACCTAGGTAAAGGTAAAGGTTTCCCCTTGACGTTAAGTCTAGTTGAGTCCAAATGTGGGGGTGGTGCTAATCTCCATTTCTAAGACAAAGAGCTGGCGTTGTCCATAGACGCCTCCAAGGTCCTGCGGACTGCATAGAGCGCTGTTACCTTCCCACTGGAGTGGTACCTATTGATGTTGTGACTTCAGAAATCAGAGTCTCATCACTCCAGGGAGCGGGGTGAGCTCCTGCTGTTAGCCCAAGCTTCTGCTAACCTAGTGATTCAAAAACGTGCAAATGTGAGTAGATCAATAAGTACGACTCCAGCGGGAAGGTAATAGTGCTCCATGCAGTCATGCCAGCCACATGACCTTGGAGGTGTCTATGGTCAATGCCGGCACAACGTCAATAGGTACCACTCCCGTGGGAAGGTAATAGCACTCCGTGCAGTCATGCCGACCACATCACCTCAGAGGAGTCTATGGACAATGCCGGCACAACATCAATAGGTACCGCTCCGGTGGGAAGGCAATAGTGCTCCGTGCTGTCATGCCGGCCACATGACCTTGGAGGTGTCTATGGACAATGCCGGCACAACGTCAATAGGCATCGCTCTGGTGGGAAGTTAATAGTGCTCCATACAGTCATGCCGGCCACATGACCTTGGAGGTGTCTATGGACAATGCTGGCACAACGTCAATAGGTACCACTCCGGCGGGAAGGTAATAGCGCTCTGTGTAGTCATGCCGGCCACATGACCTTGGAGGTGTCTATGGACAATGCCGGCACATCATCAATAGGCACCACTCCTGTGGAAAGGCAATAGTGCTCCGTGCAGTCATGCCGGCCACATGACCTTGGAGGTGTCTATGGACAATGCTGGCACAACGTTAATAGGTACCGCTCCTGTGGGAAGGTGGCACCCATGGAGACAAGGAATCAGAACTGGGCCAAGTTTCATTGCTCTCCATCCACAGGAAGTGGGTCAGGGGAAAGCTTTAACGAACGTCCCTCGTACGAGGGTTGAATGAAAAGTCATGCCTCCACCTTCATAACTCCTCAACAGATGGTAGTACTGGTATGCGGCAGGTACTGGCTTGTTCAGTAGACTCTCCTCTAGTTACATTTTGGCAGGAAACCTTAGAATTGAATGGTTGTGTTGTTAAAGTGCGAAGTATGGAACCCTGCGCAGACGGGTTAAGCAACGTGCAGCCATTGAATTCTTGACAGTAGAAGGTGTCACCCCAAAGGAGATTCATCAGAGAATGCAAGCTGTTTATGGGGATTGTGTTGATGTGAGTTCTGTGAGTCGTTGGGCGAGTAAGTTTAAAGATGTTGAGGTGATACCTTCTGCTGTCAAGAATTCAATGACTGCACGTTGCTTAGATCACATTGACCGACCGTCTGCACAGGGTTCCATACTTTGCACTTTAACAACACAACCATTCAATGCTAAGTCTTCCCGCCGAAATGGAACTGTAGAGGAGAGTCTACTGAATGAGCCAGTAACTGCCACATACGTTGCTTAAGTCGCATTGACCAACCGTCTGTGCAGGGTTCCATACTTTGCACTTTAACAACACAACTGTTCAATGCTAAGGCTTTCCGCCAAGATGGAACTGTAGAGGAGAGTCTACTGAACGAGCCAGTACCTGTTGCATATGTTGCTGAAGTTGCATTGACCGACCATCTGCGCAGGGTTCCATACTTTGCACTTTAATAACACAACCGTTCAATGCTAAGGCTTCCCGCCAAAATGGAACTGTAGAGAAGAATCTACTGAACGAGCCAGTACCTGCCACATACCAGTACTGCCATCTGTTGAGGAGTTACGAAGGTGGAGGCATTACTTTTCATTCAACCCTCATATAATAAACATTCTCGGCATCAGGAGACAGGCCGCAAAGAGACATGCAAGGACTCAGGTGTTGATGGGACGCCTTGTTTTAATCACAGTTTAGGCGACAGTAGCATTGCCGGAGGATCCGGAAGGAAAAGACAAGAAGAGGAAGGTTGGACGGAGACACAAGGGGCTGCGTTGCAACAATTCGTTCTTTCTTCCTCGGATCCGAAAACGAGAGGAATCTGATCACCAGCTGACATTGAAAACAGAAGAATGCCTCCATTTTTAATCTGGTTTGCTGTAGTAGGCAACCAGACTCCAAAAAGATATATTCAGGTGTTGCGTCAAGTTAATTTTCAGCTTTTTTGGGGACACATGCGCAGTGCAACTGTAGTGCATCGATTCCACTTTTGCTGGCGCACTACTTATAATAGTGTAAGCAAAGGGACTCGGACTTTGCTGGAGGGAGCAAACCACAAACCCAAGGGTTTTGCAAGATGCCACAGTTCGGCACTTTTGCACTATAATTGCACCGTGCAAAAGGGCAGGAAAGGGCAAGAAAACACACCCACGGTGCAACCGTAGTGCAGCGATTCCACTTTTGCTGGCGCACTACAATTAATAATGTAAGCAAAGGGACTTGGGACTTTGCTGGAGGGAGCAAACCACAAACCCAAGGGTTTTGAAAGATGCCACAGTTCGACGCTTTTGCACTATAATTGCACCCTGCAAAAGGGCAAGAAATTGCAAGAAAACACACTCACGGCACAACTGTAGTGCACCGATTCCACTTTTGCTGGCGCACTACTAATAGTGTAAGCAAAGGGGCTCGGACTTTGTTGGAGGCAGTAAACCACAAACCGAAAGGATGACGCAGTTCGGTGCTTCTGGTGGAATCATGGCACTACAATTGCACTGTGCAAAAGGGCAGGATAGTGCAAGAAAACACATCCACAGTGCAACTGTAGTGCATCAATTCCACTTTTGCTGGTGCACTACTAATAATAGTGTAAGCAAAGGGACTCGGACTTTGCTGGAGGGAGCGAACCACAAACCCAAGGGCTTTGCAGGATGCCACAGTTTGGCATTTTTGCACTATAATTGCACCGTGCAAAAGGGCAGGAAAGGGCAAGAAAACACACCCACGGTGCAACTGTAGTGCATCGATTCCACTTTTGCTGGAGCACTACTAATAATAGTGTAAGCAAAGGGACTTAAACTTTGGTAGAGGGAGCAAACAACAAACCGAAGGGATGACGGAGTTCGGCGCTTCTGCGGAATCACGGCACTATAATTGCACCGTGCAAAAGGGCAGGATAGTGCAAGAAAACACACCCACCGTGCAACTGTAGTGCATTGATTCCACTTTCGCTGGCGCACTACTTATAATAGTGTAAGCAAAGGGACTCGGACTTTGCTGGAGGGAGCAAACAACAAACCCAAGGGCTGCAGTTTGGCGCTTTTGCACTATAATTGCACCGTGCAAAAGGGCAGGAAAGGGCAAGAAAAAACACCCACAGTGCAACTGTAGTGCATCAATTCCACTTTTGCTGGCGCACTACTAAGCAAAGGGACAAAGACTTTTCTGGCGGAATCTGACGCAGTTCGGCGCTTATGGCGGAATCACAGCACTATAATTGCACCGTGCAAAAGGGCAGGATGGGGCAAGAAAACACACCCACGGTGCAACCGTAGTGCATCAATTATACTTTTCCTGGCGCACTACTAATGATAGTGTAAGCAAAGGGACTTGGACTTTGCTGCAGGGAGCAAACAATAAACCGAAGGGATGACGCAGTTCGGCGCTTCTGGCGGAATCACGGCACTATAATTGCACCGTGCAAAAGGGCAGGAAAGCACTTCAGGCAATAAATAGAAAGATTTAGGGGTTGGGGGAAAATTGGGCCACAAGAAAGTCTCTCGAAACACACAAGGGGTCTCCCAATCCGGGTAGGAGGAAGGGCTGCAATCCGTATTTCCGACCCCGCATTATTCCGCCGCTTCCCTCGTTGACGTCCTGCATTATCGCATTTTCTCCAGACGAATAATTCCTGGATTCGTTGGGAAGTTGTCACCATCGTGCAGGCGGGAGGGTAAGAACAAGGGACCCCCGACGAGGAGCGAAAATCCCAGATGGAAAGAGGAAATAACCGGGGTCGGGCAGCTGAGCGGTGGAGAGTCCCCTCAGAGCTTGAAGATCTCGTCCTCTTGGTCGCGGATGGAGTCGGCGCGGGCGATTTTGGTGAGCGGGACGGGGCCCAGGAGAGCCCGCTGCTGGCTGCGCGGAGACAGCTCGTTCTGGTAGGAGGAAGAGGAGGAGGAAGAGGAGAGCGTGTGGACGGGCCATTCCGCATCGTCCCTGGAAGCCCTGCAAGAGAAGCAGACACATAGAATCATAGAATCAAAGAGTTGGAAGAGACCTCATGGGCCATCCAGTCCAACCCCATTCTGCCAAGAAGCAGGAATATTGCATTCAAATCACCCCTGACAGATGGCCATCCAGCCTCTGCTTAAAAGCTTCCAAAGAAGTAGCCTCCACCACACTCCGGGGCAGAGAGTTCCACTGCTGAACGGCTCTCACAGTCAGGAAGTTCTTCCACAGGTCAGGTTTCCATCACTGTCGGAGCAGATTCCCAATCTTGGTGTCCTCATGGACAACAAGGTAAACATGAGCCAACAATGTGATGCGACGGCAAAAAAAGGCAACGGGATTTCGGCCTCTATAGTGTCTAGATACCGAGAAGTCATGCTACCCATGCTCTATTCTGCCTTGGTTACACCACACCTGGAATACTGGTGAGGTTGGGAGGGAGGTTGATTTTGTCATTTGGGAGTTGTAGTTGCTGGGATTTATAGTTCAGCTACAATCAAAGGACATTCTGAACTCCACCAATGATGGAATTGGGCCAAACTTGGCACACAGAACTTCCATGCCCAACAGAAAATACTGGAAGGCTTTGGTGGGAATTGACCTTGAGTTTGGGATTTGTAGTTCACCTACATCCAGAGAGCACTGTTTGCCGACAATCAAAGGGCATTCTGAACTCCACCAATGATGGAATTAAGCCAAACTTGGCACACAGAACTTCCATGCCCAACAGAAAATACTGGAAGGGTTTGGTGGGCACTGACCTTGAGTTTTAGAGTTGTAGTTCACCTATAACAGAGAGCACTGTGGGCTCAAACAATGACCAAACTTGGCACAAATACTCAATATGCCCAAATGTGAACACTGGTGGAGTTTGGGGAAAATAGACCTTGACA